AAGTGGACATATAGTAAACAATGACATAATTTATTTTGTATATATCATCTATCATATCTCATTACCTTGAATCTTTTTTGCAAAATGTTTTAGAATCTTAAATCATTTTGAAAAAATATAATCATAGCATTACCTTGATCTATATAGATGAATTACAACCCACACATCCTTTTGAGCATTTGTAACTTCTTTCACATATTGTTCACCAGAAATTTCTCTCAGCTCTCCATATTTTTGTCTTCTCTGAAGAATTTTCAATTCTTGTAAACGTTGTTGCCTATTTCAGAAACAACACATTGGTACAATTTTTTAAAATATATTTTACAGTAATATAAATGTTGTATCTCTTAGTTCCTTTGAATAAGCCCATTATCATCTATAATTGAAATGTCACAGCCATGATTTTCAACTTTTAATACTTCAGCCAGCTTTTAGAGAGATACTGCTATACATTTTGGGAAAGGGGCAACTGATTTTGAAATAAGGTATCAATTTTTTAAATACAGCCACTCCCCGAGTTGCGAATGGTTGAGTTACCACCGTTCGCACTTACAACCAAAGCTCCCATGGAGCAGTCGTAAAGGTGGTCCCCGAGTTACGAATGCGACCCACGCTTACGAACAGCGCGGTTGTGTGTAACTCAATGGGGTCCGAGTTACGAACGGATCGAGTTACAGCCAACTGTTTGGTCCATAACTCGTTCGTAACTCGGGAAGAGGCTGTAATCTATATCTGAATGCCTTAAAGTTTATTGGAATAATTTTGTGTTAGAAAGACTTTAGTGCTGGCATTTAGTCAACATTTGAAAATAGGAAAGAAACTATATGTACTTATAAGCAACATTAAGGATATACAGCCAGTCCCCAACTTACGAACGAGTTACGTACCAAACACTAGGTTATAACTCGATCTGCTCTTAAGTTGGATTACATTCACTTGACATACAGCGGTGCTGTTTGTAAGTGTGGATTTCATTCGTAACTCGGGGACCGGCAGTATTGGAGGTTGGTCATAAATACGAACGGTCGTAAGTCGATGCTTTCGTAACTCGGGGACCAACTGTAAAATATTAAGGAATAAGAATGTTAAAGCCACAAACATACTATAATATCTATATTGATAATGTAGTGAAGACAAGGCAAGCAATACAAATTCAAAAAAATGCCCAAAATGGGTTTTATGATTTTTAAAACAAAATTATATATTGAATAAAGTAAACCAGAGTTTAAACTTAGTGTTGAACAATTTTGTAATGAAAAGTTGAACTGAAAAGCACTAGATGGCAGTCTTCATCTATAAAAATAACAACAATGTAGACAATGAGCGAAATACACAGCTACGGGGCAACTTTTATCAATATTAGTGAAATAAACCATCCCATTGTTTTAAGTCTGCAGATAACTTTTAAAAAGAAAGTGCTAAATAAAAGTGCTAAAGAAAGGATCAATGCCCACAAAACAGATATTAGACAGGATCACAAAGAAAAAACAGTTTCTTGCCATTTCAACCAGAAAGGACATTGTCTCAATGACTTAATTACCTGCATCCTGCTTCAAAAGCCTTTTAAGACTGCACTTGAAAGAGAATCCTCTGAACTGTTATTCATGCTAAAATTCAACACTTTACGCCGGGGTCTTAACAAAGACTCTAGTTATCTTACCCACTACAAAGATAGCTTCCCCAATTATCACCTCTAATATCATTAGCTCACATCCCCTGCATCCTCCTTCTGTTCTGAAATGTGATTTGTCTTTTTCATATGTGTTCACTTTTTTTTTAAATTGTATCCTTTGTTATATATGGTTGTGACTATTTTCTTCCACTATTTGATCTGAGGAAGTGGGTCTGGCCCACGAAAGCTCATCATCTAATAAACCATCTTGTTAGTCTTTAAAGTGCTACATAGTCCTGTATTTTGTTTCAACTTGTATAGTAACTGGAGTGCTTCAAGATGTGTCCCTGTGGGTGCCCCACTTAGGTGTGTCAGCACTGCTGTACACATGGCCTGGAGATCTTTGGTAGCAGTCCCCAGCCACCGGCGCTTCCTGCACTATTGCACAATTGCTTAGGCTGACAGTTAAGCATGTGCTGGTGGCTGTTCCCTCCGTTCCTTCTCTACGTCGGACTCCGTTAGCCTGGAGCAGAGGGGAGGAAAGTGGGTATGGAGCACCCATGGGGACACGTCTCGAAGAACTCCAGTTACTGCACAAAGTGAGTAACCTTCCCTTCTTCGAGGGTCCCCGTGGTTGCTCCACCGAGGTGACTATACAGCAGTGTTCCTGCTTAGCAGTGGGCACTTCGTGATGCAGGGCTGGATGTTGGACAGTACGGTACATCCAAATCTAGTGTCTGAATCCTGAAAGGATTGAAAAGCATAATGTTGTGCAAAGGTATTGTCTGAAGCCCATGTTGCAGCTCTGCAAATGATGTCTATTGGAAGACCCTTCAGGAAACAGTTGTGGGAGAAACTGCTCTCATGGACTGCCCCTGTATAACTATTGGTGGCTGTCTGTATTTCTGGGAGTAAATGAGCTGTATGCATGTAGAAATCCATTTCGATATTCGCTGTTTGGAGACAGATTGACTTCTGGACCTGCCTGGACAAGACACAAATAGTCTGGAAGTGCATCGGAAGTCTCTTGTGTATTCTAGGTAAAAGGCTAGTGCCCTGTGTACATCCAGTGTGTGCAGCACTGAGTGATTGCTGTCCCAGTGTGGTTTCAGCAAGAACACAGGTAAGTATATTGGTTCATTACAATGACATGAGGTAGGTATCTTGGGAAGAAATTTTGGATGGTTTCTAAGGACGACTTGTCGTTATGGAACACCATATATGGAGGGTCTGCCATGAGTGCAGTTATTTCTCCTACTCTCCTAGCTGATGTTATCACTGCAAGAAAAGCAACTTTCACTGAAAGATGGAGTAGCGAGCAAGTTGCAAGCAGCTCTAAAGGCCATCTCGTGACTGAGTCCAGCACTAGCTTCAAGTCCCACAATGGCAGTGGATCTCTATGGGGTGGATAGAAGTTCCATATCCCTTTTTGGAATATCTTCACACATGGGTGGGAAAAACTGGAAAACCTCTGTATGGGTGGGTATATTGCAGATACAGCTGCCAAGTGTACATTGATGGAACTAATTGAAAGTCCTGTATCCTGCAGATGAAGGACGTACTCTAGTAGCCACATAGGGCAGGGCTCAACAAATACACTCGCCTGCTCACAAGTGGCGAGTAGATTTTACCAGCTGGTGAGTGCAGGGTCGGACTGGCCTGGTGGGTCGTTGTGATGGGCTTGCCAAAGCCTGCACTACGGGCGGCGCGGCCCCATCCGATCTGCCAGCCTGTGGAGGAGCAGAGTGCCGCCGGGAAGGAGGAAGTGCAGCGATTCTTGCCACCAGGCTGCCTGCGTGCAAGTCCGGAGTGAGGAGATGGGGCGCAAGCTAAAGGGAAGGACGTCGGCAGATGCTAGGACACTGGCGTGACGTGGCCCCGCCGATTTTAAAGGGCTACGACAGCTCGGCTCTAGCCGCGTGTCCCCAGGATCTGGATGAGGCGCGTGGCATGGCCAGGCCCCGCCCCGCTGGCTCCAGTCCTGTCACGGCCCCAGCCCCTTCGCTGGCGAGAGACCACTCCCTGTCAACCGCCCAGCTCATTGTGCCCGCCCCGCGCCCCTTTGTCTCCGCGCCGCACGTTCCCTACGCCTCCCCTGCACCCTGGACTCCCTGCTCTCCCTCTTCCCTGCGACTCTCTGGCTCTGCGCCGCCCTTGCACCCCGTACCCCCCAACTCTGTTGCCTGTTCCCTGCACTGCCCCTAGACCCCAATCCCTCTGCCCCTCCCGTTCCCCGCATCCCATTCCCTGTGCCTCCACCACACCCTAGTCCCCCTGATCCCTGCATCCCTCTGGCTCTGTGCCTCCCATTCCCTGCGCCACCCCTGCACTCCCGCACTGTTCCCTGCACCTCTCTGGCTCTGTGCTGTCCCTGCACCCTGCTCCCCCTATGGGTTGGGAGTGAGGAGTGCTTGTCCATAGGGAAGGGCTGGACAGGGCAGGGAAAAGCTGCTGACACCCAGCAGCGAGTGAAAGGGGGAGTTCACTTGAAGTGCCTTTGCCTCTATGGAAAAAAACTAATGAAAATGCTATTTACTATTTATAGGGCTAAAATGCTAGGACAAAAACGAAAACAAAAAAAAAACCATTGTAAAATGCAAACGTGTAAAAGACAACAAAAAAGGGGGGGGGGGGAAGGTTTTGCTTGGGGCAGCAAAAAACCTAGAGCTGGCCCTGGGGGAGGGGAAGGGGCTGGGCTAGGATGTGGGGAGGGAAGGAGACGGGAGGGGAAAAATATGGGGAAGGGGCTTGTGCTGAGGGGAGATGAGGAGGTCAGGAGAAGAAGAAGAAGAAGAAAGGGGAAGGCACCAAGGGACAGGGGTGCAGGAGAGACAAATCCCAGGGGGCCAAGTGCAGACAATGAGGAAAAGAGCAGGAGGGGAGGTGTTAGTGGGAGGGGGGAACAGGGTGATGCTGGGAGAGGAGAGAGTAAGGGCACTGGGGACTAGAGGGGGGAGGAGGAGGTGCTGGGAGAAGGCTTGAAAGAAGGGGTGGGCATGAGGAAGGCGGGGATGGAGCAAGGCATGTGTGACGGCCGGGGGCATAAGGGGAATGGGGGCAGAGGGTGGTGAGGGGGTGGGTATCCGGGAAAAAGAGGGCAAAGGGGGAAGGGGCAGTGAGGGAAGGGAGAGGCACCAGGAGGGTGCAGGTGCCAGGGGATTCCGGGGGTGAAGCAGAAAGGCAGACACCTGCAGGGGAGGGACCAGCACCAGAGGAGAGACGCAGGGCAGGTGGGGAGAGGTAAGGGAAGGGGGAGGCACCAGGAGGGTGCAGGGGTAAGGGAAGGTACAGGTGCCAGGGGATTCTGGGGGTGAAGCAGAAGGGCAGACACCTGCAGGGGAAAGCACCAGAGGAGAGGAGCAGGGCAGGTATGTAGAGGGAGGTGTTAGAAGAGGGGATGAGGAGGGGTAGCTCACATGATCGGAGTGGGCACGGGGGGAGAGTAGGGCTAGTGGAGGGGGGCAGGTCTCAGGAAGACTGAGGGCAATGAGAAGGGCAGGAGTCAGGACAGCAGAGGAGGGTGAAGGGTTGGGGGGCAGCAGGCATCAGGGGAGCCAATGGAGCAAGGGGAGGAGACATGGCAGCAGAGGGAAAAGGTAGAGGTTTATATGATATTTATTAATAACTTGAGTGATATTTATTAATAACTCATTAGTAATTACTGT